ACTTGTCTGCATGGATGCAGTTCCAACAACATTCAAAGAAGCTTGATACCATTCAGGATACAGCGGCCTGTTTGATTAGCAACCCATCTACCTCCTTCAACATTCACTCCCTTCATGACTAACATACACTGGCAGCAATCTCTGGTCTGTCAGAGACTGTTGGAATGGATGGCAGTTTCTCAAATGCTCCCTCTCCAGTCTGAGCAGCCTTGGGCAAAAGATTCCCATGAGACACTGACTGTGACTTTTTTCAGGGAGGCTTTGAGGATGCTTTTGAACTGTTTCTCTGACCTCCTGATAACCACTTACAGTGGTGTGGCTTAGAGTAGAGAGTGCTTGTTTCAGAAGTCTTGTGTCAGGCATGCTGACAATGTAGCCTGTCCATTGCAGCAGAGGAACCATAACCAGTGCCTTGATGCTTTGGACATTAGCCTGAGAGAGGACACTGATACTGGATTGCCTACCCTGCCACTGGATTTGTAAGATTTTGTAGAGGCACCACTGGTGGTATTTCTTGAGGGTTTTGAGATACCTGCTGTATATTGTTCACATCTCTGTTTCATAAAGGAACGCAGGTAACATTGCTGCCTTGTAGTCTGAGCTTGGTGTCAGGTGTGAGGTCTTTGTCATCAGCAAATGCTTTGTTCTGAATGACAACAGCAGAATAATAACTGAACTGCTATTTGAAAACATAGGGACAGTGATTGTGAACTGAAATTCTTGAACTCAAAGCCCTGTATGGCTGCTGAGATAAAGACAACAAGACCCATTTGTTCAGAGATAGTAGGAACTGCTGATGCTGGAGAATGTGAGATAACAAGGTGTAGAGCTGGATGAACACAGCAGGCCAAACAGCATCAGAGGAGCAGGAAAGCTGATGTTTCGGGTCTGGACCCATTTCTGAAGAAGGGTCCAGACCCGAAACGTCAGCTTTCCTGCTCCTCTGATGCTGCTTGGCCTGCTGTGTTCATCAAGATCCATTTGTTGTTTCTTTTCAGGATACTAACTCCTTTTGTTTTGTAGCATTGCCATTTTTGTCATTTAATTTTTGCCCTTTTATGTCCTGTCACTGACCCTCCCTTTTGCTCTCCCCCACCCCTTTCTTAATTTTCCTGTCTCTGTACTTACTGAAAAACCTGTTAAATATTTAACATTGTCTTGTTCTGATGAAAGAAACATTTCTCTCCAACTCTTTTGCCACAGGCCCAACGAGTAATTTTGTTTTCATATTGATTTTCCAGCATCTGCAGAATCTCCTATTTGTACATGATTTCTCTGCTACTCGAGTGTGATTGCAAGATGCTGGAAATTGAGCTAGCTCTACAAAACAATCCCACCTTGACGGGTAGGACTGATGAACTCTCACGTGACTACTGACTCAAGGGATGCTATTAAATTATTGTAATCTTCAAGGGAGGTAGTTTCCGTGATGTTAAGAAGTTCTGCACAGAATTTAAGGTACTATATGCTATGTAATAAAGCATATACAATGACCACAAAACATAATTAAAAATTTATATTTGAATGTAACAATTGAATTGGTATCTGCTACTTTCATTAGAATATTTTTATACAGATTGTTTAGAAATATAAATTATCATAGAATATCTATAGTGTGGAAACAGGCCCTTTGGCCCAACACGTACACACCAACCCTTGAAGCATCCCACCCAGACCCATCCCTCTATAACTCATCTAAGCTATATATCCCTGAATACTATGGGCAATTTAGCACAGCCAATTCACCTCGCCTGCACATCTTTGGACTGTGGGAGGAAACCCACGCAGACAGGGGTAGAATGTGCAAACTCCACACAGACAGTTGCCCAAGGGTGGAATTGAACCCGGATTCCTGGCGCTGTGAGGCAGCAGTGCTAACCACTGAACCACCGTGCCACCCTATTGCATATGTTATCGATGGTGATAAATTAAGGACTCTCAGTTTGCAACATCTATCATCTTATTTTAATACCTGGAATTTTTCATGGACTGCAATGGTTTTTAAGAAAGGAAAAATGCTAATTTAAGATAGCTGCAGTGATCGGGCAGCACGGTGGTTCAGTGGTTAGCACTGCTGCCTCACAGCACGAGGGACCTGGGTTTGATTCCACCCTCAGGTGTTAGTGTCGAGCTTGCACATTTTCCCTGTGTCTGTGTGGGTTTCCTCCAGGTGTTCCAGTTTCCTCCCACAGTCCAAAGATGTGCAAGCTAGGCGGATTGGCCATGCTAAATTACACAGTGTTGAGGGATGTGTAAGTTAGGTGGATTAACCATGGGAAATGCAGGGTAACAGTAATAGGGTATTGTCTGGGTCTGGGTGGGATGCACTTTGGAGAGTCAGTATGAACTTGATGGGCTGAATGGTCTGCTTCAGTGGTGTAGGGATTCTATGAAATCACCTGAACAAGGTGACTTAGGCTTTACGAAACCAACAATGATCAGGATCCAGTCTGAACTGAAATTAATATGCCTTCAAATTTACTGAGGCTAAACACTCAGATTGGTGTCTCCTGTTTGATGTACACCTGCTGGAAGTTTCATATGTTAGGTTGGAACCCCGCTAAAGATTTTCCAGCTTGAAAAGAAAATGAAGCTAGACATGGGAATACACAAACAAACCAAATGTTGGGTGACAGATTTTAAACAGAGAGGGGGGAGAAATGTATTTGTAACAACAGAACTAGAAGACTCTTTCCCTTAGTCTCTCAAAAGTCGGTGTCTCATGAGAAAAGAAGATCATGAAATATTGATTAACAGAGAACTCAAAAAGATACCTACAAATTTCCTTATTGTGGAGGATACAAGTCATGACTTAAACAACCAAGGCCTCAGGTTAAACCTAACATTTTAGAACTATAAGGGCTTTTTAAACCTGCATATTCTTATTTTTTTTTGTCCCAGACATTTACCCCTTTTTAAACTTTATCCACATATTAGTACGTGTGTTTAATGTTGCATTTAATTATTTTGTGAGGTTAATAATAAAATTCCTCTTACATTCACTCAATGAAACCCTGTAATTCGCTTCTTAACTTTGAACTAGCAAACCGTACTTTAATCAAAGTTTAATAGAACTGCATGCTGAATAGAATTAAAAATCTTTGTTGCAGACTTAAAAAGACAGGAGCAAATTCACCCTTCTCACTTGTCATACCGCAGAATTACATCTCCATAATTATGAGACTTAAAATATCGAGCTGGGTTAAAGCCATTAATACTGAATTAAACAGATTAAACTTCTGGAAATAAAGTGTAAATGGTATCAGTCCACATTTAATCTGGAAAGCTTCTGCAAACGAAATGTTGTTATACACATGATTGATACTTCATATCAAAATCAACAGTGCATGATGTCATATGATGGTTTACTTGTTGATTTACTGTTTATTTTCCTGCAAGAGAGTAGTTTCATAGGAATATATGAATAGTAAATTATTATTCTATATCGACTGGCAAGACAGTGCTTTTAGCAATGCCAATCTTTAATGTAGTTTGAGAGTAAGAACTTTGATGGTTAGAACAATGGACAGAAAATTCGAAGATCATTTTCCAATGAGTTTCATAGAAAACAAATACCTAAAACGACACACTTCCATATATGGCACCTTTATGAAAGAGAACATCCAAAGACTAAATCACAATAAGGTATGGAAAAAAAAAGGCCAAGTTAAAAGAGGGAGAGGTTCTAAAGAAATGAATGACAGAAGGTTAGTGTGGGAGAAATGAGTTTCAATTCACGGGGCACTGGCACCAGTACTAGGAATAGTGGGAGCTGTACAATTGGGAGGACCTTTACCATGCTGGGACAAGTGGTCTGGCACACTGTATAACAAGGGGCAATAAAGACAGCTCTAAACCACACAGTGGGAGTGAGGGATCAAGTAAGGGAAAATAGGATAAATTAAAGAAAGAGATAAAGCCAAAAAAGCAATGTAACTCTCAGGGAATTGATAATCTAATTGTGTGGCATGAACACAGAAGTACATAAAGATAAGAGTCAGCAGATGAGGCTAGATGTAGTGAAAATAATAAAAGTAAGTCATGATTTATGGGGGTAATATGCTGGAAATCAAGCCCCACTATTCCTCGAGTCACCACAAATGTGAAAAGATTTAAGTCAGACTGTCCAAAATTTCAAACTTTCCTGACTAACTCAGATTAAAATAAAACATTCATCAGTTTTCTGTATGTAACAAATCTTTTATTTGGTTCGAATAAAAAAAAACTGTCTTTAATCAATGACAATTAAGAAATATGAATTGTTAATTTATAACTCTACAAGCTAAACTCCAAGCCTTCTTAAAATCTCCACTCTCACGTAGACAGACATACAAAGACAGACAAGGCATGAATATTAAGGGTGTGCACTGATACTCTCTCTCATTCATTGGTTGAGAATTTGTTTTTACTGTCTTTAAACACGTTTTAATCCTCATTCAACAGGTATTTGCAGAGAAAAGTGAGTGGTGCTGTTTCCATATGATGCACAACAGTCCTCAGCTAACCACCTGGTGCAACTGAAGCCTCACCTGCCCTTTCAACTGAATGTAAAACATGAATGTGGCACGAGTTTGAAGAAGAACAAGGGAATTATTCATTGAGTCCTAAGGGCTGTGTGCCTCTGAGCAATATCTTGTTGTTGTATGTGGGTTTGCTATCTAATTGGCTGTAGTACATCCTAACTTATAAAGAGTCAGTGTACTCAAAATTAATTAACTGACTGTAAAACCCTGAGGGTATTCTGCAGCCACAAAAGGCTCTATATAAATGTATTTATCCCCCTTTTTCTTGCAAAAGTTATTTCATATATTTACAACATACCAAACAAATCCTTAAGTCCAGAACTTACTGTAATGTGGAAGAGTTAACATTAATTGTAGTCATATTTCTGATTGCTATTCATTTTACAGAAATTTCAACATATTCATATTCTTTCAATTTTAACCTGACTTGCAATTGTATCTACGGTACTATTTATATAAAGTAATACAGGTTCCTACCTGTGAGACCAGCTGGACAGTTGCATGTGTAGTTGTTGATGCCATCCACACAGGTGCCAACACCACATGGATTTGATTTACATTCATCTATGTTTTCTTGGCAAAGCTCCCCTTTAAAACCAACAAGACACACACAGAGGTATTCTCCACTTCCTGGGGGGAAATTGATATTTGTAACACATGTTCCACCATTAGCGCAGCCACATGGCTTCACTAAAACCTATAAAGGAAAATAAGGAACAGTTGAGACAGCTTAGGCAGCAGAGTAGTAGCACACCATCACAATTATAAACACGTGATGTCTTAACAACACACATATACAGTACATTTGGTTTTTGATGACCCTTGTAAGTTTTCTGTTTGATTTTTGTCATTTTCTTTCCCTTCAGAGTTGCTGGTACTACTATGGCAAGTGTGCCAATGGCTATTTCACTTTTTGTAAAGTCCAGGTCTGAGACGTTCAAGTTGGGTGACCCTGACCTACACAGGAAATCAGGGTACGATCTTCACAAAGCCATCAGGGACACCAAGAGACAATACCAGACTAAAGTGGAGTCCCAGATAACCACACGAGCACACACCGACCGTGACAAGCTTACAAGATGTAACGGGCTACAAAGTGAAGCTGAACAGAATTGCTGACCACAGTGTAACCCTCCCTGATGTGCTCAATGCATTCTTTGATCGTTTTGAACAGAAGGTAAGTGAAATGATGTCACCTGACCTGACAGCCTCAGGTGCACCTGTATCCAGTCACCGCTGTAGGTGACTTATGGGCCTTCTTGAGAGTGGTTCCACAGAAAGCAACTGGCTGGATGCAATCCCCAGCCATACACTCAGATCTTGTGTGGTTCAGCTGATGGGAGTATTCGCAGACATCTCTAACCTCTCCTTACTATGATCTCAGGTCCCCACCTGCTTCAAGAAGACCACTACCATCCCGGTGCCAAAGGGAAATCAGGCACATGCCTTAATGACTGCCGCCCAGTAGCGCCAACATCCGTCATTATGAAGTGCTTTGAGAGGCCAGTAACGGGACACATCAGCTCCAGCCTCCCAGATTGCCTCGATCCACTACAACTTGCCCACCATCGCAACAGGTCCACGGCAGATGCCATCTCCCTGGCCCTACACTCATCCTCGGAACATCTGGATAACAAGGATCCCTACATTAGACTCTTACTTATTGCTTTTAGCTCCAACTTCAACACTATCATTCCAGCCAAACTCATCTCCAGACTCTGAAACCTAGGACTCTGCTCATCCGTCTGCAATTCTCAAATTCCTGACCCACAGACTGCAATCAGTAAGGACAGGTGACGACACCTCCTCCACAATAATCCTCGATATCTGCACTCCACAAGGCTGCGTACTCATCCCCTTATTCTATTCCTTATACATTCATGACTGTGTGGCCAAATTCTGCTCTAACTCCATTTACGAGTTTGCTGATGATAACACTGTAGTGGGTTGGATCTCAAACCATGATGAGACAGAGTACAAGAAAGAGACAGCTTAGTGGCACGGTGTAAAGACAACAATTTTTCCCTTAATGTCAGCAAAACGAAGGAGCTTGTCATCGACTTCAGGAAGCTGAGTAGAGGACATGTCCCTGTCTGCATCAATGGTGTTGAGGTGGAGATGGTCAAGAGCTTCAAGTTCCTAGGAGTAAATATCATCAACTATCTGTCCTGCTCCATCCATGTCAATGCTACAGTCAAGAAAGCATACCGACACCTCTACTTTCTCAGAAGGCTAAGGAAATTCGTCATGTCCACAAAGACTCTTACCAATTTTTATAGATGCACCATAGAAAACATGCAATCTATACGCATAAAAACTTGGTTTGTCAACTGCTCAGTCCAAGACTGCAAGAAACTACAGTGAGTTGCGAACGCTGCCCAGTCCATCATGAAAACCAGCCTTCCATTTATGACTCCATCTATGCTTCCTGCTGCCTTGGGAAAGCAGCTAACATAATCAAAGAACCCCTCCCACCCCGGTTATACTCTCTTTCACCCTCTGCCGTCAGGCAAAAGTTTGAATACACGCACCAACAACTTCAAGAACAGGTTCTTCCCTGCTGTTATCAGACTTTTGAATAGACCTCTCATATATGAAAGTTGATCTTTCTCTGCACCTTCTCTGTAGCTGTAATGTTATATCCTGTTTTCTATTGTATTAACTTGAATGTACTTATGTACGGCATGATTTGCCTGGTTAGCACGCAAAACAATACTTTTCATTGTATCTCGGTACATGTGACAATAATAAATCAAATCAGACCTGTGAGCAATGAGATTAAAAATGCCTGAGGGTGAAGTAAAAAGAAAGAGAATCATTGCGAGTTATATTGGGAACAGTAGTCAGTTTCTAGTAAATTCGAAGGAATGTACTCAAAAACAATTAAAATATTTCAATTAATGGCCTTATACTTAACAGTCTTTTTAAAGGCCCATAAATGAGTGTGACAGGCAAAAAGTTACAATGGTGATTAATTCATCCTGGTAGCAACGCCAGATCTGCTTCTAGCATTTTTTTTAAAATGTGCGCAAAAAATTCGCAGAAAATCAAGCTGCACTGAATGTAATGTTCTTTTAAAATCCTGTGACTCTTTGCCCCAGTACAGAGACTTTCATCAAATTCTACCTAAAAGACCAGAAAAACCAGGTTTAGAATATAGACTGATGTGGTTGTTTCCCAGCCTTAAAAGAGGCATGAGATGGTCCATGGATTAGATGCCCACCAGATCCATGAGGGTTTTTTGGCCTGGTCCTCATAGATAAGGATGTTTGTTAACCTTGACATGTTTGTTCTTTGCATTACCAATTGGTCACTGTTTAATTAAATATTTCCTACATAATAGCTGCATGGTTTAAGTAGTAAAATTTAATGAAGTCACTACTTTGCAAAATACATTCTCGTTGAACAACACAATATCAGTTCCTGCTGCAGGCAAATTAATGGCATGTTTAATAGCCCTGGTGAAAGTAAAACAAGTGCGCTGATATCTTGAGAGACCCCAGCAATTTTAACCTAGTATTGCCAGACAGGAGACCAATGAAATTGGACAGGATAATGATTTTACACACCCATACCATTTAACATTACACTCTATTCGTTTCAATGGAGAGTAAAATTGGACTAGTGTGTAACAAAGTGTTGCATTTGATCCTGTTAGTTTCCCAATGGGTGAGTTACTTGAAATTGATCCTGATACACTTCACTTCACAGTGCAGCCCAAAAGCCTCCATGCTAAATCTTTGTATTAAGACCTTAATATTCTGTTGTATTGAAAATTGCGCATGAATGTACAGGACTTAAATCAAACCTAATACTATCTAACCATTGAATGTGTACCATATTTATGTATCTAACCTATGACTTTAATGGGAATATATCATCCATGAATTCAAAGGAAATATTACTGTTCTCCTGTACTTAAGAACACTCTCCTGTAACAAGTACCTTTCTTTAACAATAAATCAGATGTATTGAAGTGGCACAGTGGCTCAGTGATTAGCATTGCTGCCTCACAGCACCAGGGACCTAGGTTTGATTTCAGCCTGAGGTGACTGACTGTGTGGAGTTTGTGTGTTCTCCCCGTGTATGTGTGGGCTTCTGCTGGCTGCTCTGGTTTCCTCCCACAGTCCAAAGATGTGCAGGTTGGGTATATTGGCCATGCTAAATTACCCATAGTGTTCGAGGACATGTTGGTTAGGTGCCTTAGCATGGGAAATATAGGAGATGGGTCTGGGTAGGATGCTCTTCAGAAGGTTGGTATGGGCTTTTTGGGCTGAATGGCCTGTTTCCACACAGTGGGGATTCTATAAATAAAAATTACATTAGAAGTCAGTTGCATTTACTGATTTGTAGCAACGCTCCTGGCTATTATTATATATACCCTACCTTTATTTGAAGATTTACCTGCGAGAGACTATATGGTAATTAAAAGTAAGGTAAAGTTATCATTGTCTTACCAGAGCATAAGGCTGCTCGCCTATTAAAGAGTGACACAACTGGTGCTGGTTTAACCCAAGGGTCACCACACCTCAGGTGAGCAAAGAGGTAGAGAAGTAGAATCCTTCACAGTAACCTCAGCAGGAATTGAACCCGCAATGTCAACATGACTCTACACCACAAACCAGCTGTCTAGCCAACTGAGCTAACCAATCCTCATGGATGGTCACATGTTGCAATTCCAGCTGATTTCTTAACTTTTGTCAAAATAAGCTGGAGTTCCGTTTGCATGGAAATGTTTAAAAATGGTTCAGGTCATGAGTAAAGAAACTTGTAAGAGTTCTTTAATTTAATGGGTCTTTCTGAACTCACCTGAACAGAATATGTGCTTTGTGCATTGCATTCATCAGCTACAGTAAAGCTGAAGTTGCCAGACTCTTGAGAATTCACTTTCCAGATCAGAAGACCTGCAGGTGATAGGCTGCCATTCTGTGGTCCAGATTCCAGCAAGAATAGGACTGCTGATCCTTCAGGGTCCACAGCCGTGAACTGGTAGACAAAATTTTCACCAAAGAAAGTCTGGAGCTTAGCTGTGGACGGCTGGTAAATTGGTGGCTGATTGTCTTAAGGAAATGCAAAGTTGAAGGTTATTAAGAATAAATCTAAACAAAGCAATTGCTCCCCCAATCTTCTCTCCAGAAACAAACAAATAAATTTCCCTTAATCAAACGCAAAAACTATGAATTTAAACTTACTTTCATTTATAGACCAGGTGAATTTGGATATGCCAGGCCTGCAATGTAAACAAAGGCTTGTTGGGTTTGTGTCTCCTTCACCATAGCATAAGCCATCTATATTACAGGTCTTTTCCTACGGATAAGAGTGATATTTGTAATTTACACAAGGATCAACGAAAAGAATCACTCTAACACAAACAGAAAATGGTGAAAATATCCAGTAGTTCTGACAGCAGTTAAAAAGCTAGGAACAGGGTTAATATTCTGACTGCTCAAACTGTGCGGTGAGAAAGGTAATTGACCCGAAATGTTAATTTGGTTCCTCTCTTTACAGATGCTGCCGAACCGCTGAGCATTGCCAGAATTTTCTCTTTCTATTTCAGATTTTCAGCATCAGCAGTAATTTGCTTTTAGTTAGTATAATAATTGATGACAATCATAATAAGCAACAAGTGTATATAAATCATTGCACTTGTCTAACCACGTGGAAATTGGTGATCTTTGTGGCAATTTTATCTTTGTAAAATGACTTTACTTGCAAACTGCTTTCATACTTCTAAAGTAATTTACTGCTTGGAATGCACTTTTAGATGTCTTGTGTCATGAAGGGCATTATACATAGGCAGGCTTTTGTTTTTAAAGCCTAGTTACCAAATCCTTATATTCCTGCTATTGTTTCTTATCACAGATTTGCAACCATTCGACAGTACTTCATGTCCAGTTGCTTTCCCTACACTTCCCTTTCTGGCTTTTAGGTGAAGCATCTGATTTATTATTTCCACAGGCAATATTATTACTCCAATGAAAATAACTGTATTGCATTCTTAGCGACGTACAAAATCTGTTCATTCAAGTAAAAGACAAACAGATCCAGCTCAATTAAGGTGTATCGATTCTAAACTCCCTTTCTCACACATCATTCAAAAGTGACCAAGTTGATTATTCTTCAACATTCTTACAGGCCATCCTCAAACATACAGAAGGTTGATTTGGTGCAGTACATCAGATAGCTGCATCTAGAGTTAACTCTGCTATTTACATCTGCTAAACAGTGTCAGGATGAAGGTAAGACATAAACAATCTGAAGGCAACTATGTAGTTAGCAAAGGTGAACAGTGAATGCTTCGGGATGTGTCATGCTTATTCTGCAGTGAGAAATGGTGCCCTGAAGGTAATTGCGACAGGTTGCAGGATGAGGAAGAGGTTATAAGTCTGTCCCCCAGGACGCACACTAAAATAAACATCAACTGCACCTGGAAGGCCATCAATTCGGTGAAAGATGCTCTTTGAAAGCCTGAAACTTGTTGGTCTTCCAGAAGAAGGCGGTGACCCCGAATGAGTGTTGCAGACTGGTACATTCCAAGGTCCAGGACTATGTACTGAGGGACACACTAAAGCTTGGGTCAGCTGACGCCAAGGTGCAGTGGTCAAAGACCACTGTTTAAGGTCTTTCTGCTGAAGGTAAATAGGTCTGTTCAGTTATCAGACCCTCTTAGAGCCTCAAATACACGTAAATATTAGAAGGCAGAGATAGCAGGAGCTGAAGATGCTGGAGTCAGAGACAACACAGTTGGAGCTGGAAGAGCACAGCAGGTCAGGCGGCATCAGAGGAGCAGGAAAATTGACATTTTGGGTTATAACTCTTCTTCAGAAATGCGGAGGGGGAAAGAAATAGAGAGGGGGTGGGGCTAGGGAAAGGTAGGTGCGATGGTGATAGATGAATGCAGGTAGTGAGTGGTGGAAATTGGTCAGTGGGATGGGTGGGGCAGATAGGCGGGACAGAAGATGAACTGGTTGTGTCAGGTCAAGGACACGGGAGGGTTGGGGAAAGGTAGGTGAGGTGGTGACAGGTTGGATGCATTTGGGGATTCGTCGATGGGAAGGGTAGGGCAGGTAGGTGGAGAAGAAGATGGACAGGTTCGTAGAAGATCATAGAATCCCTAGAGTGTGGAAACAGGCCATTCGGCCCAACAAGTCCACACCGCCGCTCTGAACAGCATCCCATTCCCCTACTCTTTCCCTGTAACCTAGCATTTCCCATGTTTAATCCACCTAATTTACATGGGCCTGGACACAACAGGCAATTTAGCATGGCCTATCCACCATACCTGCACATCTTTGGACTGTGGGAGGAAACCGGAGCATCCGGAAGAAACTGACATAGACATAGGGAGAATGTGCAAACTCCACACAGACAGTCGCCTGAGGATGGAATTGAACCTGGGTCCCTGGCGCTGTGAGGCAGCAATGCTAACCACTGAGCCACCATGCCACTTGTGTCAGGTCAAGGAGGCAGGGGTGGGAGGGACGGTTGGACGTGGATGAGGCCTGGGGTGGGGAGATCTTAAAACTGGTGAATCCTATGTTAAGGCCTTCGGGCTGTAGGCTCCTGAGGCAGAATATGAGGTGTTGCTCCTCCAGTTTGCATGTGGCGTCATTGTGGCACTGGAGGAGGCCCAGGATGGACATGTCAACCAGGGAGTGGGAGGGGGAGGGGGAGTTAAAATGGTTGGCTACTGGAAGGTATTGTCGTTTGTCTTGTACAGAGCACAGATGCTCCACAAAACGGTCCCCAGGTCTACGTTTGGTCTCACTAGTGTAGAGGAGGCCACATCAGGAGCAACAGATACAGTAGACCAAGTTGGAGGATGTACAGGTGAACCCCTGTTAGATATGGAAAGGTTTGCTCTGAGCCTTGGATGGAGATGAGGGGGTAGGTATAGGGGCAGGTGTAGCACTTCCTGTGGTTGCAGGGAAAGGTGCTGGGGGTGGTGGGGCTAGTGGTGAGTGTGGAGCGGATGAAGGAGTCGTGGAGAGAGTAGTCCCTACGAAAGGCAGATAGGGGCGGGAGGGAAATATCTCTTTGGTTGTGGGGTCGGACAGTAGGTGCCGGAGAGTGATACACTGGATGCGGAAGTTGGTGGGGTGGTACATGAGGACTAGGGGAATTCTGTCTTTATTTCTGTTGGGGGGAGGGGGTGTGAGGGCGGAAGTGCGGGAAATGCAAAAGATGTTGTTTAGGGCATTTTTGATTGCCGGACGGGGTAAGTTGCGGCCCTTGAAATACGAGGATATTTGGGATGTTCAGGTATGGAATGCCCCATTTTGGGAGCAGATGCGGCCGAGGCGGAGGAATTGGGAGTAGGGGATTGCATTCTTGCAGGAAGGTGGGTGAGAGGAGGTGTAGTCCAGGTAGCTATGGGAGTCGGTGGGCTTGAAATAGATGTTGATTTTGAGGCAATTACCAGAGATGGAGATGGAGAGGTCCAGGAAGGGGAGCGAGGTATCGGACATGATCCAGGTGAACCTGAGTTTGGGGTGAAAGGGGTTAGTAAAGGTGATGAACTGTTGAACTGCTCCTACCCATCCACCCCACCCATTCCACTGACCAACTCCCACCACTCCCTACCTGCACTCACCTATCACCATTCCACCTACCTTCCCTAGCCCCACCCCTTCACTTTATTTATTTCCCAGCTCCCTTCTCCCTCCCCATTTCTGAAGAAGGGTTCCAAACCAAAATATCAATTTTCCTGCTCCTCTGATGCTGCCTGGCCTGCTGTGCTCCTCCAGCTTCAACTGTGTTGTCTCTAAATATTATTAGTGTACATATCAGAGAGGTATTTGTATTTTTGGATAGAGACAAAGTCCATTTCCTTTTTTATAGCACTAGCTGCCATATACTGGAAAGTATTGACTAATATACAGTGAAATCCTTTGGAAAATTAACAGCTTTGCACAGTGTTAATAAATAAATCAGTTAATGGGTGATTGAATATTTAGGTGTGTACATGGTAGGATGTGTGAAGTAACTAGGCAAATGGTCGGATGGGTCAACCATGAGGGTAGCTTGACAGATAGGTGTGGTAACAGCAAGGGTAGGGTAGGCTGCCAGCTGGGTGAGGTGAGTAGTTGGGTCAGGAAATGTTGAGAGTAAAGCATCCATGTGGAAAGGGATCCTTTTCAAATTAACAAATTCTGACATCAAGTCACATAAGCAGATAGTAGAACTAGTAAGGCTACATTTATAGTACCAAGTGCAGTTCTGGTCACCCTACTATAGAAAGGATATTATTAAACTAGAAAGAATGAATGTAAAGATTTACGACGATGCTACTTGAACTGGAGGGTTTGAGTAATAAGGAGAGGCTGGGACTCTATGACTCTGTGACATTACTAAAAGGTTGGCTACATGTGGACTATTTCCATTTTGTAATTATTCTAGCTATAGAAAAGGAAGTAGCAAAATGTAGGGACAGCATTCCCTAACTTAAGGGCTGGGCAACAGAATGTACAGATAGCAATGATGTAGGGATTAATATTGGGGATGCATAACAGCGCAGAACTGAAGAAGTGGAGATACCTCAAAAATCGTGAAGGTTGTAGGAAGTTACTGAATCAGGGAGTGGATAAGCCTTGAATGGATTTGAAAAGAGGTGAGAACATTAAAATCTAAGCATTGCCAGATCAGGAAACTGCAGGTGAGAAAACACAGGAATGTTGGTAAAAAGGAATTGGTGTGAGTTGCCATATTGGGCATCAGATTTTGTGTTTATTCTCTGCGTGAAACTCACAGCAAACTGCTTATCTGCCTCATTATGAATATTAAATAAAGGTTGGTATGGAAATCAAGATTCCTAAAAAACAGCTCTTTACAAAACTTGAGCTCTTCTGTCTTAAATGAGATGTTAAACAAGGGTTGAATAGACTGGGGATGATTTCACTGGAGTGTCAGAGGCTGAGGGGTGACCTTATAGAGCCTTTTAAAATCACGAGCGACATAGATAGGGTGAATAGCTAAGGTCCTTTTCCTAGGATGGGGAGTCCAAAATTAGAGGGCATAAGTTTAAGGTGAGAGGGGAAAGATTTAAAAAGGGCCAGAGGGATGCCTATTTTTTTTACGCAGAGGACGATGCGTGCTTGGAATGAGCTGCCAGAGGAAGTGGTGGAGGTGGGTACAAATACAACATTTAAGAGGCATCTGGATGGGTACATGAATAGGAAGGGTTTAGAGGGATATGGACCAAAGGCTGGCAAATGGGACTCAGTCAGCTTGGGATGTCTGATCAGAGCAGATGATTTGGACTGAAGGTGCTATTCTGTGCTATATGACTCTATGACCAGGACTCCGTCTGCTCTCTCAGATGGAATGAAAAAGACCCATGGTATAATTTAGAAGTAGTGCAGGGAGTTAATCCCAGGGCCCTGGTTATTATTAATTCCTCGATTAACATCACGGCTTATTCGAATTCTTGTTTGGAGGTGTTTGCTATATTTGTTGCTGGTTTTCTACATTATGACCACAAAAGCTGAAAGGAAATGCAATTCATTGTCTGTGAAGCAATTTGGGACATCCAAGTTCATGAAAGGTGCTTAGCGATTGTACATGCTAGGCGTACAATACTCAGTAACATAGCAGGCTGTATGATTTGAAAGAAAAAAAAAGACTGTTTTGTCTGGGCTACAACAACTGGATTAGAGTTACGCAAAGTCCAAGAAATGCAAGTCCGGAAGGGTAGGATGTCCTTTTCTGGACAAACAATATGCAGTTAACCAATGGCCAAGTTCAATTTCAGTTGGATAAGTTATAGCCCCAGATACATTTGAGAGTCCCTACACGTCAGTCCTTAATAATCTCGGATAAGTACTGTGCATTCCTATCGGAAGACAATTTCTCACTTTCTGACAGAGAAACGAATCTTATTGCATGTGTTTTTCTCAATGGCTTGTTTCGGAAATCCTTGTTATAATAAAGGATCTTTCCAGGTGATATGCTGACTCCTAGCTGACCAAAACCTCAAGTTTAATAATCGACAAGCTCAATGCCAATTCTTTTCAAGCATTTTGTCATTTGAAACTGCAAGATTATACCGATAATTCAAATTTTCTGTTGAATCAATATTCCAAAAACTGAAGTTACCTTCAACTTACAAGTTCCATGAGGCATGTTATCACAGATCTGGCAAACCCCATCATACAGTGTTAGGACTTTCGTATTACTAAACAAGGTTCCATCATTTGTAATCTGCCAAATCAAAAAAAAATGGTATTTTCAGCAAAATAACTGTATATTATTTTATTCAAGCATTTAATAATTGGAAATTTTTATTTGGAAAGTTAAAAATAAATCTCAACCCCAACTTGAACAACAAGGAATTCATGAAACCCATTTCTTAGCATGGAATTGGCAAGGAAAACAGCAGTGATTTCTTCCCTAATGTGTTGTCTAATTGGTACCCTTTTCAAGGCTAACATGCAGGATTCTTAGAAAAATTTGAAAGCAGCTACTGCTTTTGGATGGACCACAGAATTTAGTATAGAATTCAACTGCAGTGGGGAAGTCATTTCTTTCCTATTACATTGCTCTGTATTGTAAGCTGTTTCCTACAATACAATACAGCACAGGAACACGCCCTTTGGCCCACCGAGCTTGCGCCCATTCCTAATCTTTATTCAGACCTGCTACACATTGCCCAGGCACAGTTTCTATCCCTCTGTTCACCTCACGTTCACGTGTATAATAAAGATACATCCTAAACTTTGCTAATGTGTCTGCTTCCACCACCTCCACTGGCGGCACGTTCCCGGCACCCAACAAAGTTAATCCACACTTCTCCCCTAAACTTTCCCCCTCTCACCTTGAACCTGTACGCTCTTACAGTTGACCCTTCCATCCTAGGAAAAAGCTTCTGACTATCCACCCTATGTTTCTCATAATTCTGTAGACCACTATCAGGTTGACCCTCGGCCTCCATCCTTCCAGCGAAATGATCTGAATTTATCCTCAGATAAAAACCTCTCCTCATAACTAAAACCCTTCAGATCAGGCAACCCTTTTCTGTACCTCTCCAAATCAGCCACATCCTTCTGGCAGTGTGGTGACCAGAACTGCATGCAATATTCCAAATGTGGCCTAACTAAAGTTTTGTACAGCTGTAACATAACTTGCCAACATTTATATTTGCTGCCTCAGCCAATTAAGCATGCTCTATGCCTTTGTGACCACTTTATCTTCCGGTGTTGCCAAGTACGCCCAGATCCCTCGTATGTCAATGCTCTTAAGTGTTCTGCCATTTATTGTATAATTCACACCTGAATTTGATCTTCCGAAATCCATCACCTCGCATTTTTCCAGGTTAAACTCCATCTGCCAATTCTCTGCCAAAATCTGCAATCTATCTATATCCTGCTGTATCCTCTGCCAACCTTCTTCACTATTTGTAACTCTTCCCATTTTAATGTCATCCACAAACTCACTAATCATACCAATTACATTTTCTTCCAGATCATTTATGTATACATTACAACCAACCAAGATTATTCTTCAAATTTTTGTGGATTCGTTTTTAATCCAAATCATGTAGAATGAGCTGTGACCATGACAGCTAACATCGGCACTGAGGAAATTATAAGGAAATAAATATTGTGGGCAATAAATGTTTGGAAAGCAAAAGATGCTGGCGGAGAAGATTTGAAAAGTAACTAAAGAGAGAAAGCAGACAGACAAATCTACAGCAGCATACTGCTGGTTGCAGTTGAAACAGGCAAGGCTTTCAAATGTCGGGCTGTATTTTCTAGCCCCTGAATGATGTAAAAAGTTGATTGGGAAAATGTAGCCAGATATAAAAAATTTGATTCTTAGCATTGAGAAAAATAAAATCCAATTTTTCACCTAAAATGTGAACAATTGCATTGAGAATCTTGCTGTTGATGCTTATTTGCCTGTATTTATATCTCATTAATATCTGATCTCACCTCACTCATGTCAATTCCCTATTCTCTCACACAAACTTGTCAGTGACAATTCCCCCAACATGAAAATCAGAGCGGGTACTTGGTGACTCCAATTCTCCACTTCGTCCTCCTGGCCAACATCTAGGCCAGCAGTCCCCAACACCTCAGGACATGCTCCATGAACAGTGACCACCTGCATTCTCCCTTCCACAGAGATTGGCATTGGACATGTAACAAGTTCACTGATTCACTTAGAATACAGATATACACATCAAATGCCACTGAGTGTCAAGGGACCAAGGTGAGACTCTCTCTTGTTGGGGATGGTCATTGCTTGGCACTTGTGTGGTGCCAATTTTTCTTGGCACCTGTCAGTACAAACCCGGATATTGTCCAGGTCTTGCCGAATTTCAACACGGACTGCTTCAGTACCTGAGGAATCACAAATGGTGCTGAACGTTGTGCAATCACTAGTGAACATTCCAACTTCTGACCTAGTGATGGAGGGAAGGTCATTGATGAAGCAACTGAAAATGGGTGCGCCAACAACACTACCCTGAGGATCTCCTGCTGAGATGCCCTGGAGTGCAAGGTAGCAGAGACTGGCTGATGACACCTACCCTGATGGAGGGCAGAAGATCATCCTCCTGCACTGCTGGGCAGTCCTCTAGACCATAGATATTGCACTGGCCTGGGGTATAATTTCAGACCAGGTTGTCAAGCTCTAGTGCCACGATCTCTTCTGGCAAACCTGAGGAAACAGCCCTCCTCTCTACCACTCTCCTCAACAGGACCTCCACATCCCTGTCATCAAATCAGCTGCCAACTTGTCTCTGTTTGCCACTTTTGACAACGTAACTGTGAATGGTAGTCCCTTGCTGGCAGCTGGTGCACAGCTGGGGTTTAAACGTGGCATTGGTAATAGGAATCCAGGGTGAGTGCATTTTCTGCTGACAAGTGAGTAATGCAGAAGAGGTGCCACAGAGGCGTGGTGTATATATAATGAGAGGAGCAGCGTAAATTTAGAAAGCGTGCCAGGGCCCATGGCAAGAAACCTGCCATGAAACTCCCTGAAATTGACATTTAGCCATTTTTGTAACATTCAACCTATAATGGTGGATTTCCCAGTGACCAGTTGGAATGGGTAATCTCACTTGAAAGTACTGAAAGCTTTGAGCCTTACAGATCAGAAAATCTCCACTCCCTAAATTAATGATGTGCTCTCACATTAATATGATAATATTCATAGATTGATATCTATCTGATGTAAGGATGGAAATTTGATACTTACTACTGGTGGCAGTCTGTGTCGTTTGATGCAGAGAAGGCTGAACAAAAGCATAGGATTTGCTGGGTGAAAACAGATCACAATGCATCCAGGTTGCCATTAACTATCTTGGTGATTGTATTATGGGATGATGGTGTTGTTGAAGAATTCTCACACATAATCTTTACGAGTGGTAGTGTGTTTTGGAAACCATCTGTCCAAAGTCACCAGTGCTTCTCAGAATGCTAAACTCACATCAGCATGCATTTGGAGACTCAGTTCCTTATTGTGCCTAAGAAATTGGCTCCACACATACCATCATTAAATACCAAGCAGTAAATGATAAAGAAACCTACAAACCCAGAAACCTATAAAATTCTGACAGCTTGCCTTCACTGGTCAGTGCATTGTGTGTAAGAGTTGGCATGTTCAGGTCATTGGTTAAGCCACTTTTGGAATACTGCGTTCAATTCTGGTCTCCCTGCTATAGGAAAGATGTTGTTAAACTCAAAAGGGTTCAGAAAAGATTTACAAGGATGTTGCCAGGATTGGAGGGTTTCAGCTACAGGGAGAGGTTGAATAGGCTGGGGCTTTTTTCCCTGGAGTGTCAGAGGCTGAGGAGTGACCTTATAGAGGTTTATAAGATCAGGAGGGGCATGGATAGGGTGAATAGCCTATGTCTTTTTCCCAGGGAAGGGGTACCCAAGCCTAAAGGGCATAGGTTTAAGGTGAGGGGGGAAACGATTTAAAAAAGATTTGAGGGACAACCTTTTCACACAGAGGATTGTGTATATATTGAACAAGCTGCCAGAGGAAATGGTAGAGGAAGGTACAATTACAATATTTAAAAGGCATCTAGATGGGTACACGAAGAGGAAGGGTTTAGACAGAAATGGGTCACATACTGGCAAATGGGACTAGATAGCTTAGGATGCTTGGTCGGTGCGGACGAGTTGGACCGAAGCTCTGTTTCCTTGCTCTATGATTCTATGTGACCCATTGTTAAACCAGTTACGAAAAAGGAGACCAGAAGTTAATCTTCGCTCAGTTCTAGATGCAGTCACAAAGTAAAACATAAATGAACAGCTCCTAACTCTGCAATCCACCACCAGTGTCAATTAGTTTTATTTTATTTGTGTGCAAGTAATTATCAGAAAGTGCCACCATCTGAATGCATTTAACTTTAATTTATACAATTAACATAAATTAGACGTATACTGCATCAAACAAAATCCTGAAAGAAATCTATAATGACAATTAGAATAAATCAATACAAACTGCATCCACTCCATCCTCAGCAAGCCTATAGATTACTACTTGCTCAGTGAAATATTGGTAGTGCAGATTTGTTTTGAATTTACATACCCCATCAGCAAAAGGTCATGCTCTCCAACTGAGCTATTGTAATGAGTGACCAGAAGAACCTTGCATATTCAGCACAGGATTAATGAAGGAGAAAATGAATTGGGGGAAATAGTAACAATTTGTTATTCAATCCCAGTGTTAAACACAAACAATAACTCCAATCAAGTTACAGCATCAAATTATAGTTTGAATTTCAGTTTAGAGTATTTTAGTCTTCAGAGTTTCAATATCTTACCTTTATTTGCCACCTGGCAAAAGGTTTATCTGAAAACATGAAATCCACAGTCTCGATAGCCAAACTTGTCAGTGCTGGAATTTGGCAATCAACAGCTTTGGTACTCAGGAATGTTGCCTTCGTTATCTGTGTAGCTCCCAGAATCCATTCTTCATTCACATACTGCTCTCCACATTAACGGGAAACAGAAAGCACATATTCACATTGTAATCTGCGCAAGCCCTTTAACCACCACAGAAGAAAACAACAACTCTAAATTCGAAATCTCGACCTTAATTGTTTCTTACAATCAATTAATGATTGACTTGTACTCGCCAAAGCCACCCTTTGCAGGATGGGCATAACCTCTGGTGTATAGGTTAATGATGATGTGGAGGTGCCTGTGTTGGACTGGGGTGGACAAAGTCAAAAGTCACATAACATCAGGTTATAGTCCAACAGGTTTATATGAAATCACAAGCTTTCGGAGCATCGCCCATTTGTCAGGTGCACCTAGGTCCCACTGGAAAATCACGGCAATATTTCTCCGATGTGAACTGGCAACGGATGAGGTTCCCTCATATGGTATTAGAATTATAGCAAGTTTCACATTAGACTGTGGTACTTCCACAGCCTTCTCTTTGAAACTGCAATCAAATATTTGAAACAAAGATATTTTAAAAGATTAAAGATTGTTGTATTGCATCACCATAGTCTTGCCAGGCCATAGGCCTACTCTCTCATTATAGAGACAGCCAGTGGTAATTTAACCTGAGGGCCACCATACCTCAGGCCATGGGAGAGGCTGAGAGGGAAAGTCCTGCATGGTAACCTCAGCCAGTGCAGAAACTGAACCCATGCTGTCGGCATCGCACAGCTTCACAGACCAACCATCCAGCCAACTGAGCTAAACATTTCATTCTGCAGGAAACCTGGCTCCAATGTATGATGCGCGAGAGGTTTGAAACTGACAGCAAAGATAAATAACCTTGTTCAAATATTCTTTGAATAGGGCAAATGATTAGGAACAACTTGGATTCCCATGATAAATCTCATGAATTTCTGCCAGGCTCTCTAATTTTGTATATGAAGTCACTGATGCAGTAAAAAGTTTGGTTTCTGACTAGTTCAAAGCAATAACAAAACACCTGCCATAAGAGAATCAATGGCCCTGCTTTTGAAAGGGACTTATCTATAAATCCTATACTATGATTTAATAGAATACATAAATCAATCAATAAGGCTGAATAAAATAAATGTTTTGAAATATATTTTGTTTTTTTTTTGCTCATTGAGGTATGCCATGGCTATAGGTAAGAACATTTTTCCTATTTGTCTGTCTGACTGACTGTCTGTCAGTCAGTATTGAATAATGCATCAAAAGAAAGTTTGAACCCCAACTTCAGAGAAGTGCATTACATCAACATGCATTTATACCCTCTCAGAGGAAGATTTTTCCCTCACATTTCCTAACCCCACCATCAGGTTAAGCCATGGGTATAAGGCCCATTGTGGGAAACAATCATTGCAATTTTCCTCAGGCCACCCAATTAACGGTAAAAGGCAGGGTCCTCAAAACAACAGGATATGGAGGCCCCTGATAGTGGGGCACTGCTACATAGAGACTGCACATCGTTGCCCTGATTTTGATGGGATGCTGCTCAAGTTTATTGACACACACTCAGTATGCGATTGTAAGTGTCAACAATAATGAGAACCTCTCACTCCAGCCTAACCCCCACAGCATCCAAGACAAGCAGCAGGCATGTAGGATAGTGGCATGGCCATTTTACTGTCCAAGGTGCAAAGTGACCGGCTCCTACACCTTGTGCAGGTTGTCCAACTAAGGGAGACGGAGAGGTCTGCAAAGCTGGAGAGCCAATGTGTGGCCTTCCAGCCTGAAAGAAGCAGGAAGTGGTAATGCAAGTGAAGGGAGAAGGTGCTTCAAGTTGGGCAGGCTGTGTGCACATGGCAGTTCGGAGCCAGGAACCGCCATGCAGGCCAGTGGAGTTCTTTTTAACCAACCATGGTGGGGGCCAAAAATCAAGCTCCAGATCTTTTTATTCTGTAGAATTATATTGAATACATGATATAGAAACAGGCAGTGGGATCAGCGAGTTAGTCTACATATCACACACTTGGCCCTACATTGAAAATGAAAGAGGGAAAATCACAGCCTTCAACTCAGCTGACTGCTCATTGTCCCAGCCATGTCCATTGGTGCTTCTGGTGCTGTTAGGACTAGGACTACCCCAGCCAAGTATTGCTCCTTGGAATGTTTACTGGTTACAGGACAGTCAGTATTGCCTGTAAGACATAGCCATCAACTGCTCAACTGACAGAATGGGAAACCTTTCTAACCTAAAAATCCTAGCCCTGGTGTCCAGAAGTCTTTCCATTTGCAGTCTAACTAACTGTCTTCAATCTCTTGACTTTTCAATTCTATCGTTATAGAAGTAAATACTTGCCCTGGTTAAGATGTACCTGAGAATAAATGTGGCCATACTGGTTTTCAGTCCATACTTCATGCTGTGCAGCAAAATATACTCAGCAATTTGTATGTCCTTGAAAAAAAGATCCATATCATTTAATATCCCATAAATCTTTACAGAAAGAATGTCAATAGTTTTGTTTTCTTAAGTAAGAATCAGATTTTTGCCCGCAGATGCTTCACAATGATAGTAATTTGTTTAAAAATGTGTTCATCGCACTTTAACAGCTCACGTATCTAGTTTATGAGTAAGATGGTAGTTTCTTTTGCTGTCAAGTTGTCATTAGGATCTTATTTGACTCAAAGGATAAATGGTGTATAAAAGGGACAGTGAAGTAAAGTTCATCACATGACTTCAATACTGCTCCTGCCACACAAAGAATTAATGGGGGATTGCACACTCTGAGGAGTTTTCATTACCTGGAGACAGGATCTCTGTGGTCTTGATGGACAGGCCAGTTTGGGGTGGGGGGGGATGGAGGGAGGGGGATGTTGATGGTGTGTGAGAGTCTGTGCGCGTTTGTGAGTGCGTGCCTGTCTCCTGTAACGTGAAAAAGGGCTGAGGACTGAGCAGGGTTACCTGCCCATTTTCCACCAGCCCTTGAACGCTTCCTGTCAGCTTCAGGTTGAAACAAAAACAGAAGTTGCTGGAAAAGCTCAGCAGGTCTGGCTTTGTCTGTGAAGAAAAATAACGTTTCGGGTCCGGTGACCCTTCCTCATAAGTATTGAACGGAGACTGGGCAGGAATGAGGCGATGGTGGGCTGGTTGCCTTAGGCCTCGCCAGCTCCCCATAAAATTGCAGGTAGTTCAAGGCGCATGGGCCTGCAAAGCACCGGCAGGGAATGTACAATTCTGTTAAGTCATCCAAATCAGTGTTTACCTCTTACCTTTAGAGTAGTAGCTTCACACTGGAGACTGGGTGAGTCTCTGAAGCCCAGACCAAATACTCGGATGCTGCTGCACTCATAGATTCGAATATCACACAGGCCACCATTCTCCAGATCGGTAATCTCAGGAATCTGACCTTAAAAAGGGGAAAAAAATAAATAATCGCAGGGAACGTTATTCTGGCAGCAAACAAATTGTAGTCATGCATTAAAAAGCTTAATTTCGTGAAATTAAACGCTCATACCATCATAATACAAGCACATAATTTTTAATAGTCTCCATTTTAAACTCTAATTCTTCTAAATGATCACTGTTCTAAACAAGCAGTGCACGTCTGCCATACAAAGGAGAAATAAAACTTGTGATGAACATGGTGGATAGTTTAATGAGAATCTGATAACTGGTTTAACTTTAAGGGTCTAATCATGAAATCCAGATCACAAACTGTACGTAACATCTTGCTCTGTATGTAATAGCTCACCGTTATACTTTTCTACTGCCACAACAGTGTAACAACCAAGGTAACAGGGATGCATCTATTCCTAAAGACTTTTCTTCACAATATTCTTCAGTAATACTTAATTCTTTCTATTACATTCATTTATTACAAATAAAACTTAAACAAACATGCAATGATTGCTGACAAAAAGAAGTTTTAGACAGTGCAAAAATGGATATGACTTGTATTCTAACATCCTGAAGTAAACAGGAGGCAAATATGGACAACAGACAAACAACGGTTAACCACATCAAGCAGCAATTCCAACTGAGACAGATCCCACGGATTTCTCAGCATTCCCCCAGACATTAGCTACAATGCGGGCCACCACATAATTTCATAAAGGACTCCAATTGCACCTTTCGATGGTCTGGCCTTGAAATTCCCTCAAGAGCTGCCATGAAGACTGCTCAGCTTCTGGCGGTTCACTTCCCTTTCCAGGGACTTTGCTTCCTGCATTCTGGGAAATGTGCTTAATCACCAGTACAACTCCAGCTTTTCACAAACAGCAGCATTCGTCAAGCCGGTATTGCCCCAGGCTTGTTACCCGAACTGCAATTTGGGTTAGTTTACAAAGCAAATACAGCTTTTGTTTGTTTCCTTCACCTTCATTCACAGTTGCAGTAAACTATCACTGGCTTCTTCTGAAATCTAGCAGCGCTCAGGGCTTTTTCTGCACCCTAAGCCCAATACATTGTTGTGCCAAATGACTCCTAGAATTGCGACCTTGGTTCTCACAGCCTAGAGCTTTGTAAATGCTCTTGATTTCTTACTGAGGTCCAACATATTATTAACCGACTGACCTCTGAACTCCTAACTTTGGCTACACATAACTTGTGGTCATAAGTCATTTCTAAAAATCCTGATACAGCACTAGTCTCCTGGTGGGAGGGGGAAAAGGATGGAAAAGATGGAAAGGGAGGGAAGGGAGGGAGGAAGAAAAGGAAACAAAAAAAAGTCATTAAGTGTCCTCATTAGTCTTATTTCCAGATAAATGTTCTGTGACTTTTTCATTTACTTGGGCACATTTTCTTTAATTCATTCATGGGATTTGGGTGTCACTAGTTGGGTCAACATTTATTGTCTCTCCTGAACTGCCCAGAATGCAGTTAACAGTCAACCACATTGCTATGGATCTGGAGTTACATAGAGGCCAGGACAGGTGTGGACAGCAGTTTGCTTCCCTATTAGTAAACCATTTGGGTTTTTCTGACAAACAACAGAGATTACACAGTCATCATTTGATTCTTATTTCCAGATTTTTATTGAATTCAAATTCCACTGTCTGCCATGGTGGGATTCAAGCCCACGTCCTCAGGACATTACCAAGCTTAACAGTCTAACAACATCATTGGGTCGTGGCTCCCCTAACTGCTGTTCAAACCATGGAGTAGAAATTCATCTTGGGCAGTATCACAGTGCTGTTATATGCCCAGTCACTGACTTCTATAGAAATTAATGTGGGCCAGTGATTATAAAAGGTCGTCAATTTGATACTGCACATTTTTGATTGCTGCTAAGACCAATTTCTTCATCCAAAACTTTTCATATACTTCTTTGGCACACTTTCACAAAAATGATCAGTAAATAAGGGTAACCAAATAGAAATATATTACAAAACCTTCACTAATTATTTCATTAGCATTATTGGTGTGCATTTAAGTATGGCTTAAAGTCAAAGTTTGAAATCTATACTTTTTAATAATGTTAAATCAGTATTTGTTCCCACAAAATTGCAGTCAATTGTTGGATTGCGGAAGTATTTGAGACCTAAGTGAGACCATAAGATTTAGGAACAGAAATAGGCCATTTGGCTGATCAAGTCTGCTCAGTCTCTACTCTTGTATTCTAGCCCTCTTGAAATGAATGCTTACATTGTAATTGCCTTCCTACTGCCAAATGAACCTGCATGTTAATCTTAAGGGAATCCTAAACCAGGACCCCCAAGTCCCTTTGTGTTTCAGATTTCCGAAGGCCTTCCCTGTTCAGAAGATAGTCTAAACCTCTATTCTTCCTACCAAAGTGCATTACTTTACACCTTCCCATATTGTATTCCATCTGCCACTTCTTTGCCCACTGTCCTAGCCTGTCCAAGTCCTTCTGAAGCCCATCCCCCTTCGACTTCTTCAATGATACCTGTACCTCCATCTATCTTCGTATCATCTGCAAACTTACCAACAACGCCCTCAGTTCCTTCATCCAGATCGTTAATGTATAATGTAAATAGTTATGGTCCCAACACTGACCTGTGTGGAGCTCCACTAGTCACTGGCTGCCATCCTCAGAAAGACACCTATACCCCCACTCTCTGCCTTCTAGTATCATGGGCTCCTATCTTATTTAGCAGCATTTGTCAAAGGCCTTCTGGATATCCAAGTAGATCACATCCACTGACTCTCCTTTGTCTGATTTGTCCATTACCTTCTCAAAGAATTCCAACAGATTTGTCAGGCATGACTTCCTCTTCACGAAGCCGTGCTGACTCAACCCTATTTTAGCATGCACTTTAGCAAGTACTCTGCAATCTCATCCTTAATAATGGACTCTAAAATCTTAGCAATAACGGTGGTCAGCCTACAGTTTCCAGTCATCTTCCTCCCTTCTTAATTAGGGGTATTATATTAGCCCTTTTCCAGTCCTCTGGGACTCTCCCTGACTCCAGTAATTCCTGAAAGATCACCACCAATACCTCCACAATCTCCCCAGCTATCTCCTTCAGAACCCTGTGGTGTAACCCATCCAGTCTGGGTGATTTATCTACCTTCAGACCTTTCAGCTTCCCCGGCATCTTCTCCTTAGTGATGGCCACTACACTCACCTGTGTCCCCTGACTCTCTTGAAGTTCTGTTTTGCTGCTGGTGTCTTGCACTGCAAAAACTGATGCACAGTGCCTATTCAGTTCCTCTGCAATTTCTTTGATCCCCATTATTCATTCTCCAGCCTCATTTCCCAGTGGTCCAATGTCCACTCTTGCTTCTCTCTTACATTTTAGATTAAAAAAAAACTCTTGCAATTTTCTTTTAAATTACTAGCTAGCTTTCTCTTGTATTTCTCCCCCTTATTTCTTTTTTAGTTATGCTCTGCTGGTTTTTGAAGAATTCCCAAACTTCTGGCTTCCAACTAAACTCACAAGATATGCGTCTTCTTTTGCTTTTCAGCCATGACTAACTTGCCTTGTAGCCATGGTTGCCTCATCATCCCCTTAATATATTTCTTCTTCCTTGTGATGAATTCCTGCTGTGCCTCCCAAATTACCCCCAGGAATTTCTGCCATTGCTGCTCTATCATCTTCCTTGTTAGACTCCCCTTCCAATCAACTCTAACCCTCATGTCTTTGTAGTTATCTTTACTCAACTGTAATATCATTGAATTAGATTCCAGCACATTTTTCCTCGACCTGTCAGGAAAATTCTATCATATTATGGTCTTTGCCCCCTATGGCTCTCCTTTACCTAAAACTCCCAGATCAGGTCTGCCTCATTATACATCACTCAATTCAGAATTGCCTGTTCCCTCATGGACTCTACTGTAAGCTGCTCAAAAGCCATCTTGTGGACATTTTGCAAATTCTTTTTCTTGCGAGCTGCTACTAACCTGATTTTCCTAGTCCACCTGCATATTGAAGTCCTCCATGGTTATTGTAACAGTGGCTTTCTTACATTCCCTTTCCATCTCCTGATATATTTAATATCCACATCCTGACTCCTGCTAGGAGGCCTATACACAGCTCCCATCATGATCTTTTCTCCTTTGCAGTTATTCAACTCTCCTCACACTGATTCCATGCCTTCTGACTATATATCACTTCTGGCTACTGAGTTAATTTAATTTCTTACTAACATGGCAACCCTGCCCTTCTGTCCTATCCTTTCAATAGGATGTGTATCCTTGGATAATCAGTTCCCAGCCCTGATCTACTTGCAGCCACATCTGTGATCCCCACCATATTGTACCTGCCAATTTCAATCTGCGCTACAAGTTCTTTTTTTATATATTGCATGCATTTAAGAATAATACCCTCAGTCCTGCATTGACTGTCCCTCCATCTCATAGATTTCCCCTTATCTGATGTTCCTGAAGCTAGATTCCTGACCCTTTGTCCACACTCTGTCTTATTATTTGTTCTGGAAACTTTAATAACCTCTGCCAAGCTCTCCCCCACCTTTGGTTTTTCCATACAACTGTGATATCAATCTTTTGTCAGGGCCCGAGATCCTGGGCTTCAATTTATATTGTTACAGAGACTTTACAAACTATGAGCTATAACAACGCAAGTGAAAAGCACCTCTTCCCATCTGCACTGAATTCCCATGTTGTCTTTAAATTCCCTGAACTATAACTTACTCAAGTTGTGTCTCACTTGAATCAAATGTCAAGAAAAATCTAGTAAACAGTGTCTGTATTCTACAAAATCAGGTACAAAACAGCACAGTGAATTGCTAACAATGAATTGTCTGTAATCCAGCCAGAGACCAGATTATCTTGTTCAAAGTACGTACTTCCAGTGAAAGCATTAATCTGCAGAAATTTCATATGGATTGTAGTTTTGAATTAATATGTCATAAATAATTCATAAACGAGCAGTAGATTATACAAATAAGTACGTAAGCTTCACACAAAGTACACTGTGGTTCCAA